ACATATGCGTGTAAAATATATATACGCATATATGAAAATTGGTGGCTTTACCATTGATACGAACAAAAAAATTAATATTTATATTTACATCACTTTCTTCCTTTCACCCCCCAAAATCTTTAGTCCTAGAAGAAAGTGTAAAATGAACTTAGGTAATTGAACTACAATACAATAGCAAATACCATTACACTGAGTATATATTTCACTGTGTGAAAAAGTAGCCTTGTTCCTGTATTCACTTAGAATTTAATCTAAAGCACTGTGATGATAGCTTCATTAATCTCTCCAAAAACAAACTGCTCCTCAGCTCAATCATTCCCTAAAACTGTGTAATCTACACTAAGGAGGTCTCATCCATACAGCAAAGGACAGGCTCCTGGCATGAGCTTTCCCAGGTGCTGTACGTAGGCCAGAATGACAGAGAAAGGGCATGACTCATCTTGAAATTAAACTATTGTAACTAACTTGTCAGGGACAACCTTTATGTTCTTAAGTACATTTCTCTCTTAAAACCTGCATCACAAGGAAAGGGTTACATGATTAAATAAAACACCTACTCAATTTTCCACATCTCTCTGCTCTCCTGTGCCAGATTTTAATATAAATGGGTAGAATTAAATGTAGCCTATAGCTTACCTAACATGATTATATGTTGTGTTTTACATGTTTCAAAACGGATACATTAAAATAATCCAGTCTTGGCTCCTTCCCACTGAAGTCCATAAAGGTTACTAAGGCCGACTGCCATGTGAAAGCATTGCTATACCAGCACAGGGAACTGTCAGGACCGGAAATGCAATCCGAAACATTCAAAATGATCAGGATCTACTTTCTCTTCTAAAAGCAAAAGCAACCAGAAAAGCATGAAGAAATTTCTCTCCAGTATATAAATCATCAGTACTTTTGAAAATGTTTACTCTGGAAACTATCCTAGAAAACTTCCAAATTGACCTTTTTTTTTTTTTAAGGTCAAAAGAAAATGAATAAAATGTCATCAATTTAGAGGATTTCACACCTAGCATTCTTTTCTGTATCACTGTGAATTTGATAGTGTTAAAACATTTTTATAGGTAAAATAAATGTCAGTTTTTCAAAGAGCGATACCAGACCCTGAGAGACAAATGGCCTATCCATTGAATCTCTGGCTACAGCGAGCCTTCCTCCCCTCACAGGAGATTTCAGCTTTTCATATTTCTCTTTACCCAGAAAGCAAAGCTTGCACAATTTCTTTCAAATGGTAACTCTCTCTTATCCTGGAGAGTCTCCTCGTAATACAATAATCTTGAATGGGGGGTAGTGGGTTGGTTTAAAAAAATAATAAAATTAAATACAAATATTTGAATAGTGTTCCAGTGTTACAATACCTTCTTGAATAGGGAGCAAAGAGGAGGGGAAAGGCCAGGCTAAATTCCTGGGTTAGAAGAAAGGGTTATGTTGCTTTGGGCTTAATGGCTCATAAATTCATGAGGTAATATTCAGGGAAAATGTGATATTTTATCAGAATGTCATTCAAATATAAGGTTTAACATTTACATCACAAGAGCATGCACAGAGTAAAACTATCCTCCGGGAGAGAAATGGCAAGAATAAACAGTTTGATAAAAACGGTGCTTGCTGGAACAGCAAATGGGAAGTAGAGGCTGGGGGAGTTTTAAAGACAGCTGGCTAAACTTTTTGAAATATGTGACTGGTTATGATATGTGAAGCAATTACCATCAACGGAAGAAAAGCGATTTCAAAGCTCATTTCCATTCTTCTATATCCTTCCTGAGACTGCACCTTCCAACCACAAAGTGGAAAAAAAAGAGCAAAGACAGAGAGAAATTACAACAGAAGTCTCTTCCCCGCTACAAGGGCCGTCAAAGGTTGCTTTACTCATAAGCAAAAGGGGAAAAGAAATGCACATTGCCTGAGGTTTTTTATTTTATTTTCTCGCCCAGAGAGATCGATGTTATGTTACAGAACAGACAAAATGCATTGATTAAAGAAATCTTTCCACAACACACACATGATTTTACAACTCCAAAAAAACCATAAAGATAAAAGAGCATCATTTGTCTAAAATGATAATAATTTTGAGTAATATATTCCCTGGAAGCAAAGTGAGTACGTTTTGAAATGCCATTTAGATTAGTCTAATTCTATAGGATCCAAATGTGCACCAAACACTGCACTTTTTATGTTAAATTGCTGTTGAATTTGTTAACCCACAACTGATTTCCTGTGTTATGGAATCTTGGAGATTACAGCTAACTTGAAGCAACAGGGATAATTCTTGACAGTTAATGGTACATTTGTATGCATTTTCCTGAAAGGCCAGCATCTTGGGGCCTCGAACTGGTAGCTCAACATTGCCCCCTACTGCTGGCAATTGAAAAAATAGGAGGTGGGCTGGTACAAAGTAGACTCTAACCTGCCAGTGCCCAGTACACTGCGTACACAAATACCAGATGGCACTGTGCCAGAGCCACAGAACTGTAGACCTTTCCAATGAGCATTCTCTTTTGTCTCTTCCAATGGCAAAAATACATTATTATTAATTTGTTAAAAGTCATTTTAAAGGGCTTGAAGTAACGCTTAAATTTAATTTAGAAGGACCAGCCCTTTTATCTTCACTGTGCTGATAATGATCGTCCTGAGGACTGACACTGCATGCTGAGAAAAGACACTGAGGCCATTGATTTCTCTCAGAACACTTAGGAATGCCACACCAACGACAAGAAAACTAGCTCTGGAAAGTTCCCAGGATTGCTCCTTTTTAGTATTTTTAATACAGGAGTTATAAAATAAGTAGAAGATATTCCCCCTAACTGATGTGCCACCACCACCAAATTAAAAATATATATATAAATATAAAACTAAATCTTTCAAATGAATTCATAACGGACATCACTGGTAAGCTCACAATACGAAAGATTTTACTTTAAAAGAAAAAAAACCTCTCAAACACAAGCAATTAAAATTTTTTTTTTTTTTTTTACAAAATCAGTTAGGATTCCTTTCTCATTTGTTTTTCAACTCTAATTCACAGAGTTGTCAAATTACAATTTCAAAGTCAAGCTGACATCTTGGAGTCAAGGTTCAGCAAGTAAAGAGATTCTAACTCATATGTAAATGAACAAAATCAGAATTACGCAGTTGGGGGTAAAAAAGTTTCCCTGACACTCAAGCTGCCTTTATACATACATCCCATAAAAAAGGAGCATAGTGAACACAAGCTTAGCTTAGGAACAGAACTAAGGAGATTCAGGCACAGGCTTTTCACTACCTCCTTTTCAGTTTTACAATGCTCAGTTTTTCATTGATTCAGGTCTTTGGAGAAATCAATTTTTGTGATACTATTAATATACTAAAAGAAGAATTATGGCATTTCTCCCCCAGACATATATTCACAAAAATGCATGGTTTAAAGATTTAAGAAGATGTCTGGAAAGCAGTGACTTCAGGATTCTGACCCAGACTTTTCAACCGGGACCTTCAGGATTGTGACTTGACATTTTCATTAATATAAAATACGAATTAGGGTAGATCCTACGTTAAGTGTTCCTATCACAACAATAATAATAATAAATAAGGTGGGAGAAAACTTGGAGGTGATGGATAGGTTTATGGCATAGGTTGTAGTGAGAGTTTCATGGGTGCATACTTATCTCCAAACTCATCAAGTTGCATACATTAAATATGTCCCACTTTTTGTATGTCAATCATACCTCAATAAAGTGCTTTATAAAAACAAAATAGAATAGGAATTAGCAATAGCTACCCATTTTTGCAGATTAGTTCACTGTTTCCAGCACATCTCAAATTCTGTGCAGTGGTACTATCTCCAGAGTTTAGCAGGCTTTTATCACTTTTCGGCTACATTCCAAATTCAACTGTTTGGAGGCAGAACAGCAAGGTGGTGAAGGACAAAGACCCTAGAGCCAGCCTTCGTGAGCTCAAATCCCAGCTCTCCCACAGATTAGCTGTGTGACCTTGAGGAAGTTACACAAACCCTTTGTGCTTCAGTCTTTTCATTTGTAAAATGGTGAAAAAAACAATACCTATGTTATGGGGTTGTCATAAAAGTAAAGTAAGTTATATAGAAAACACTCAGAATAGTGTCTGGTACTTAACAAGCATCACGTAAGTGGTTTGCTATTATTTAAGCTACTTAACTATTATTTGAATTAAGGCTGAATTCAAGACTTCCAAGTGGCTTCAATTTGCCTTGCACTGTTGCTCCAGTCACACCGCACTTCCTCACTTCAGATCTCACTTTTACAGTTCCTAATGTTCCTACGCAAATGTCCTACCCTGTCACACTTCTCTCCAACCTAGGTGCCCAAAAGCCACATCTGCTGTTTCACCACAGTCCCAGCTCCAGTGATCTGAATTTAATACTCCCTCCTCTGGACTATGATTGTTTTAAAACCTCCATTACAGGATTTCATTTTGGCTAATGTAATACCTGGTGATACTCATGTCTCTCTCCTTGTTAAACTGTTTGATCACAGTGGTTAAGAGCGTGAGCTCTGGAGCCAGACTGCCGGGTTTCAATCTCGCTCTGCTCCTTATTCAGTGACCTGAGGGGAGGCACTTAATTTCTCTGCACCTCAGTTTTCACATCCATAAATTAAGGCTCATAACAGCTTCAAGACCTCTTAGCATCGTTGTAAGAATTTTAAAAGTTAATACAGAGAAAACCCTAAGACTAGCGCCTGGTGCATATAAAATGAATTTCAGATATTACTGTGGCATTTTTCTCCTCTCATGGCTACTTTCCAGCATTTGTCTAGCACAGTGCCTGATCGGTAAAAAATACTCAATAAATGTTTACTGAACTGCACTGAGGTTGCACTGACAAAATCCGGGCTGTTCCCACTACCTTGCCAAGAATGACCTAACTCGATAATTTGGAATTATTAAATAGACATTTATTTGCCTATGCAAATTAGGCAGCAGAGGATTTGTATAGCACAGCATCCCAGAAAATACAGTCCCAGACCTCATGTACTTACCACACCTTCCATCTTCTTCCACAGTCCCTCCAGTTCAGCCATGGGTTGACACCACCAATCAGTGCACTTTTTGTATCGACTGCCTTGAAACCAAAACTGTCTCAGCCACTCAAACTCCACCTGTGAACCACAAAGAGAAGGTGGTGATTATAATGCCCTTGTGATGAACAAGCAAGGACAATGACTTCATCACTCAATTCTCCTCCAGTAACTTAATAACCATAGGGTGAGAAAATGTAAGAAGAGCTCAGCCTAACCAGTTCCCAATGTAACCTGGAGTCTACAGAGCATTTCTGCAAAGCCAAGAAAAGAGTAGTCTTAAAGCTGAAGTCCTATTAGAAAGACAACCCAGCTCAGGCTGGGGAAGGGTCTTCAATCACATTTATTAATTAGCTGTGTGGAAACTGTATGTCAATTCACAACAAATACTGAGATTCTAAAATACACAGCATTCTGTGCCATGTATAATGGGAAAGATATAATCAAACAAAATATGTTTTTATTAAATGTCTTTATTAAAGACTGGTATTAAAAGCAAAGCACAAACATATATCAAGAGATATCAACAGTAAGTTTCTTAGATTTAAAATAAATAAAGAACTTACCCATGGACCAGGAGGAGCTGGTGATAATCTCAGCCCATATAACCAAACAATATAAAATTAATTATGGAGGCTACATTAAACCTACGAAGTCATTCAAATTCTCATCTGTGAACTCAGTCATGGTAAATGACAATAGGTAAAAAGAACAGCAAAAATACTAGTAATTTATTTTCCTTCCTACAGATCTACTATAGTAAACTTGTAGTGTTTGCAACCTTACATTCTTCCCTCTATTTCAGCAAAACCCTGCTATTCATTTGATAACCCATCCCATCCTGTCCTCAATCTACATGTTATGGGTACAGCTCCAGCTGCAACACCAGAGTGGAATGTGCAATCCAGGTCTGAGCCAATCAGCCCACCACATTTCTCTAGTCACAGAGGTGGGTTTGAGGGGAGTAGGTATATACTCGATCAGAATAAATCTCAAGGCTGTCAGAAGGTACAGGAAGAAGATTCTGCAGCAATTCTGCCATCAAACGGGAAGAATGGAGCCCAAGAGTAGGAGCTGGCTGCAAGATGAAAAAATGAAAACCAGGCCCTAGTGACATCAACTAACCCTTGATCCAGCTATTCCTGAAGACTTTTACTTAAGCCAATTCAAGTTGAGTTTCCACTCCCTTGTAACTGAAATAATCCCAACATATACAGATGAGAGGCTGAGTAACGCTTTGGAAGTATAGCAAATTATTTTCCACCTATTTTCCAAGACTTCTATCACTCATCTTCAACTTGAAGATCAGATTCTACCATCAAAGTACAGCTCCATTGATCCATTTACCTCTGCCCTCTAAAGAAAAGTAGAGCAATCACAGCTTCATGCTGGGTCATCTGGCTTTGCTAAAGTGATCATGTTCCATATACAGACACAGAGCTATTATAATCTTCACCTGTTACCACAAAGAATTTTTTTGTTTGTTTATCCATATTGAACTTTCAAGAGGCAAACAAAAGCAACTTGTGAAGACTTAACAATGGTGAAAACGGCTCAAATAAGTAACCCGAGAACACCGAGTCATATGAAAAGGTTTTAGTTTACATTAACTAAATGTTTGTTTGATATGTAGAACTGATTTCAGTTAAAGCTATTTAAACAAAACAAAACAAAAGAGGAATGTAGATGATATGAGGAAAACAGTTGCTAAACCTTATCTGTGGTATTAAAAGACAATGGTTAACAGAAGTAAACTTGAGTACTTTGAAAGGAGAATAAATACAAATGTAGCTCAACTTCTATGAAGATACAGGTTTAGCAACATATTTATTACAAGAAAAAAATGAGTTCTTTTTAATGGATTTCACATGAAATTTTATTCACACTGTAGAAATAACCTGTCAGCAAAGCAGCAGGCCCTGTGTTAGGGAGAGTTGAAAAGGTTTTAAAAGGTTTTCCAATCTCTGGGCTGGTTATTTCCATTGAAGAGAACAAAACACATAAGCCTTGGCAACCCTGGTATCCCAGGAAATAAAATAGATTATCATATGGGATTAGTTCATTCAACCTGTTAGGGTGCCCTGGAGTCTGCGTTTCAGTAAACTAGAACTCAGAAGCAAGGAGAAGCATATCTGGGGACTTTGCTACCGAACAGCAAAGAAAGAGCCCTGTCCATTTTAATAAATAATGTCTTCCTGTTCCTCCTCAGATGCCCAACTATCTTTTGAGGCAGGTAGTGTCATGGTTAAGTAAGAGCTCTGGAATCAGTTCAAAACTGGGCCCCACTACAGAATAGCTATGTCATCTGTAAAACAGGGATAATTACATAATAACCACATAAGATTGCAGTAAGTATCAAATAGGTTATTAATGAACTGCCTACTATGTCAGGCATTGCTAGATACTAAGAATACAAATTGAACAAGACCACAAGGCCTAGAACTTACTGTCCTCAAGCATCTCACAATTGCATAGAACTTTGTGAGCAGGCAAAGTCTTAATATCCGCATCAGCTCATGTCCATTCCTTTCCACTAATGCCAGTCAGAAAAATTCAACACCAAGGACCCACTCCCAACAGAGTTTTATTCATGAGTTGATGTACTGCCCATGAGATATAATCTTTCTGGACATCAAATCCATTAGCATGCATTTTATTGAACTCCAGGACCTGACTTTTTTCTTTCAATGCTGTGGGTAAAAAACACTACAGGATATTGATTAAATGCAACCCTCACCAGTTCCCCCATTGCCAAGAGAAGTAGTTGGCTCTTTTGTTACAATTAATTAAGGAAGCAAAAAATATTTCCAGCTGCTTGACTCAGAGTTTGGGTTAAAAAATTTTTTTACCCTAAACTTTGGGGATTAGGAAGGAAAGCTGCAGGATGGATGTTGCACGAAATCCAAAAGGTCAGGACTCAGAATACAATGGAAGTCTTACTACTTCAGAGCTAAAAAAATCAAAGCCTAATCATATTGACTGACTGATGAAGTTCTAGCCTTGACAGAAGTAGGGTCTTCAAACCCTTCTCCAGGGTGGCAGTCCCTCTAAGGAGGCTCACAGCCAACACAGCAGAAATGACACAAGCCGTCAGGAGGGCAAACCCTGACTTGAGACCTGGGAACACTCATCGGGTGATGCGGATCCCTGAAGACGTGAACGGCAGGGAGGCAACTTGCAAGAGGCTCTCTGAGTCTTCATTATGCCTCTAAACCAAACTCCCTGATTTCAGACATGATCTTAATGAAAATTCACTAATTATCCAATCTTTTGAACAATTACAATACAAAGGGAATTAATGCCCACAGGCATCAGAAGGCATACTGACAGCCTACAGGCCCTGCAGGATCTTGAAGGGCCTTCTGAATCTTCAGAGACAAATGAAAAACATGTTCACAATAGTTTCAAGTTCACAGCTGTCTACGCAGAAAACCATCTCTGTAACTGTCTTAACTTCAACTGCCTTCTCTATGGGATAGTCAAAAAAGAGATCAGTCAAGATCTGCTTTTCTCCCAGAAATACCAGGAAAAAGTCTGAAGGGGAGAAAGAAACAGAATCCACCCACTGAACCTCAATCACTGGGCACTTGGGCTTTGGGGAGCAAAGCTAATAAGATTTCAAAATCATTGTTTCTGAGCCACTATATCACCATATGGTGGTAAACCATCTCCACCACTCCATCTATAGGTAAGTAAATGTCGTCTACTTTTCTTCTGTCAGGTTTGCTTAGGCTCTTGATTTGGTCCCAGATCAGCCATGCAGTTCCCACATGAGATGTATGAACATGTCCCTTGGGGTTAATGTCTCACTGTAATAAGTGATATAAGTTACTTCATTGAGGAAAAAATTAGACCAGGGAGAGATGCTAAGGCTCTATCTACAAAGAGAGACCCTATGAAGTCCCTTTCATAGCAGCTCTAGAAATGTAGGTCTGATCAGAAGAAAATTAGAACCAAACAATGCCATCAAAAAGTACATTCTTGGGCCAGCCCGGTAGCGCACTGCTACAGTGCGCCGCTTGGGAGCGCGGCGGCGCTCCCGCTGAGGGTTCGGATCCCACATACAGACCGGCCGCTCACTGGCTGAGTGAGGTGTGGGCGCAACACCGAGGGTTGCGATTCCGTTGCCGGTCCCGGTCTGGGTCTGGTATGGGCGTGACATTGAGGGTTGCGATCCGTTGCCGGTCATGAAAAAAGGAAAAAAAAAAAAGTACATTCTTCTAGGAGAAATTTACTAAGAAATGAGACTGAATTCCAAATATTACTATTTTTAAAAAGGAAAACAGACCATTTAATAACATACAGGAAGATTCTGCTCATTAATTGAATGAAAACCTTTTCTAAGCATCTTAAATTGGAAAAAAACTCTCCAAAAGGTATTCAGTTCCTATGCCCAAAGTTCCCAAATTGCTTAGTTGGAAACCATCCTAGACAAGGAAAACATGCCACTTCTAAACTCATACAGCCTGAAAGCTTGCAGCATGTAAAACCAAGGGCTCCATCCTATAATTAGCCCTGCAAAGGCACTTGGCCTTGAAGAAAGAGGAAAGCAAACAACAAAAAACTGGAGTAACTATATTGGACATTTATTCTTTTGTTTAACAACAGAACACAGTAGAGAATGAACATGCAAGCACTCAATCCCAGGCCAACTTGCATGGTAAAGGAACAATATCTGACCATGTGCCCCGACATATGGAATTAATTCCTAAAGTAAGGAGATGACCTTGAAGAATCAAAGATTGGGAGAATGGTGAAGACTTCACACGATATTTAAATGCAAGATCTCTCTCTCCATTCAACCCTAGGCTAGCCTCAAGGGGCTAAAGTTTCCAATACATCTCTGTCCCACCACCCTAACATACACAATGTCAAAAGCTGCCAGCCACTTTCTGAAGCAGATGGATTCAGACGGCACTATTCTGCTGTTAGATAAACAGTGTGATTTTACAGATTTCTCCTGTCCATTGATGATAACAAAACATGCCAGTCAGTCACAGAAGAGACCAGAAAGGATAGGAAAATAAAATAGCCCATATGCATGTTAAAGAAAGCATCTATTCTGTTAGCCTGATTCCTAAAACTGAGATTTTTAGAGAAGGAAATAACTAAATTTTCAGATTAGAATTTCTATACTACCAATATGGAGAAAGACATAACTTTGCTCCCAGGTCTAATTCAGTGAGATCATAAGGCCCATAAATGCATATCTTTCCTAAAATTCTAGCTACCAGCAATGTCTCCAGCAGGGATGGATGGGAGAGAAAGTGGAACATTTACCAGGCACAATGAAGGGAAGAAAGTCAGCCCTGGGTTCAGCTGAGCATTAGAAGTGGTACTATTCCCCTAAACGGCATAATTTCTTTGCCTTTGGTTCTGGAGATAATGACAATGTTTGACAAAGTGTGGAGCAGCTCACAAGATATTATATGTCATTGTGGAAGCATACATTGTTTCTCCTCTGCTCAAAACCCCTCAATGACTCCCCATTTCCCTCAAAATAAAAAGGAAAATCCTTCTCCTTATAGGTCCCTCCAAGGGCCTAGAAAATCTGCTGCTCCCCAATCTCCCATTACTATCTCTGTGACCTTATCTCCTCCAACTCACAGCCTCATTCCTTTCTCTCAAACAATACTGTCCCTGAACTATTCCGTGAATACCAGGCATTCTCCCGACTCATGGCCTTTGCAGTGGTTGTTCCCTCTGCCTGAAACATTCTTCCCCAGACATCCATGTGGCTCACTGCCTCATCTCCTTCAAGTCTCTGCTCAAAGAACATCTTCTCCATAGGGATGATCTCTGGTTCTCTCGATCTCCATTACCTTGCTCTGTTTGGTTGGTTTTTTCTGTAGCACTTACACAACTTCTAACATACTACATAATTTACCAATGTATTATGTTTATTATTTATCATCATCTCCCTGTACTAGAATGTCTATTTTATTTACCATTGTACCTTAAAGCACCCAGAAGAGTGCTTGGCACATGATCAGTAATTACTTACTGAAAGCATAAATAAGAACATTTTTGTATTCCAAATTCTCCATCAATCCTTCTGATTATATCGAAGAGAAAATCTCTTCAATAATTCTCTACCACATGTTAATCTCTCCTTTCTTTCTTTCAACAGTTTTTTTTTTTTTTTGAGGTATAATTTGCTCAGCATAAAATTCGCACATTTTAAATGTAGAATTCAATTTTTTTTAGAAAATTTATGAAGTTGTGCAACTATTACCACTAGTCTCCTTTCTTAATATGAAGAAAGGAGACTGTAGGCTCAGAGCCTCCTCCAGGCAAGAATATCTGCTGGAATGTAATAATATTGCTCTGTTTTTATTGGACGTATTTTTCTGGTTACTTTTTCTTTTGGCTAGTGATACCAAATTTCCACTTAAAGTGGCAATATAAGGTTTCCTTTTTAAAGAAATTTATGTATGTAAAAAATGAGTTGACTTTTAAATTTTTTAAAAAACATTAGTTAACAAAAATGTAGTCCAAGGATCCAGCAAAAATTAAAAGGGTATTAACAAGAACAGTCGTTTGTGAAACATTGACTCAAGTGATCCAGACCTACAGTTTCACAGTCTGCAGAGTGGCAACTACAGATGGTCCCTAACTTATTCTGGTTTGACTTGGGATTTTCAACTTTACAATGGTGTGAAAACAATAGGCATTCAGTAGAAATGTGTTAAGGTAGGCTAGGCTAAGCTATGATCAGTGGGTCAGGTGTATTAAATACATTTTCAACTTATGATGGGTTTATCAGGACGTAACCCCATCGTAAGTCGAGGGACACTTGTAATTACATAAATAAAAGGCAAAGCATCGACACTTGCTCCTAGGGTCCAACCTCAACTTCCATCAGTCCTTGGTGGGAGACTATTCTTCATGAGTCTCTTGTGTTTCTGCACCTCGTGTGAGGAAGCACTGACTGCCCGGTGTTTCAGACTCTCATCGCAAGGATGTTTGTATAGTGAACACCTTTGGTAGAGAGAGAGTTTCTCCCTACGGAACAAAGGGCAGGTTTGCACACACACTTGGAAGATAAAGATAGCGTCCTTGATCTGGACCAAAGGACAGGTGTGCTTACCAGCCGTTAAAAAAGATTCAGGTTCCCTCAGCTCAGGGTTTCTCTCCTATAATGCAACCCCTCAATGTGCATATGTTATCTGGCCTACTTTGCACTGCCCTTGGAAATAGAGGCTTGGAGAATGCTACGGTCTGAAAGTCTGTGTCCCCCCAAAATTCATATGTTGAAATCCTAACACCTAAGTGACAGTATCAAGAGGTTGGGTCTTTGGGAGGTGATAGATCATGAGGGCGGGGCCTTCATGAATGGCCTTAGAACTCTTCTAAAAGTGGCCCGAGGAAGCTTATTTGCCCCTTGCACCACGTCAGGATACAGTGAGAAGGTGCCATCTCTGAATCAGGACTGAATGCTCACCAGACACCCAATCCGTCAGCAACACGATCTAGGACTTCTCACCCTCCAGAACTGTGAGAATAAATTTCTGTTGTTTAGAAGCTACCCAGTCTATGGTATTTTTGTTGTTGTTGTTGTTATAGCAGCACAAATGGACTACCACAGAGAACTAACACAAAACTGCTGATACTTTGGTTACTGCTATTATTGTAAGTAATAACCTATCCTTCACCTCTGACCTGGGTGACTCATGTCTTATACTAACATGAAACTGTGGCAGATTAACTTGTTAGCTTGCAAGCAGGGTAGACTCTCAGACCCTTCATAATTCTTGAAAGTCCTCACCTCATTGTGAATTTCTTCTCCTTGTTTCAAAACCGCAGGCTCAAAGGATTTCAAAGTGACATCACCATCATCTACATTGTCACAGACGTTCTGCAGAGCCAACTGGCAGCGCTGTAAGATATAATCCAAGGTTCCTGCAGAGCACTGTGGAGATAGAACCAGTGATCAAGATTATAAGCAAAATCTAAGTTTACCATGCCACTCTTCCTAGGGCTGTTCAGATCTGCCCCTTTCTGCTGCATTCTACTGTTACCTAACTCCTTAACCCAGCCATAACCACGGTAGCCTGCTCACTGGGCTCAGTGCTGCCCAGCTTGGCCTCACCTGGGACACTCGGCTTGCTGATTTTCTTTTATTATGTGGGCCTCATATCTATAACTAAATAGTAGGCTCCCTGAGGCTAAGGCCTTATTTTTATATATATTTTCTACTATACCACAGCATCTAGAACTGAGTCTTAATGTAGAAGAAACTTAATAAGTAATTATTGGATGAGTAAGTAAACAAGAATAAAAGGACACTGACTTTATATCAAGTGCCCTAAGACTAACAATGAGAAAGGTAAGCAATCAGACTGTAGAACTGGTTTAAAAGCACACAAAATAGAACAATAATCGCAGGAAAAATATTAAAATTATAAATACAAAGCAAAGAAGTCATTTTCCTTTTTTGCAAAAAGCATACACTATACGGTTGTAGTCCTTGGCAGAACAGATTCAAGTAATGGAGAATATGTGGCTCATACCCTCAGGGCACATCCAAAGGCATAACTTAGTACTTGGGTATCAACAAGGACACAGATAACTAGTTCATGGCTCTCTGAGTCCGTGGGAGCAAAACGGAGGTCAAATGGACAAACTCCTTTTTAAAATGATCATATGTCAGAAAAAAAGAGGATGCAGATGGAGTGTGCATCTGTTTGTTTTGATAATGAAATGATTTCCTAGAATGATAAAAAGCAAGCTATAAATAAATATCCTTTATCCCTAAAATATTTTCATTTTAATATTTATAATTTAAACTGAGCCCTTGAAAATAATATTGAAGGTTAATCCTCTGGTATAAAAATTCTTTGAACATTTACTGCCGTTTTATACATTTTATACAATGTGACATCAACAAGCATGGGAAAAACAAAGTTTCTGTGCCAAAAAAACCAGAGGTTTGACTAATATATATTTTAATATGAAGATCTCAGGGTGCTGGGGGTAAAAGGGCAGGCAGCTTCAATTTGCCCTAAAGAAAAAACAAAGAATGGAAGAAAATTACCACTCACTTTTGTCCTACAGCCATCCCTACATTATCACTTTAAATGACAATATATCTAGAAAGTTCTCCTATGTGCACCTTTACTTTCCCAAGGATAAAGTGATCTACATAAGAGGTTATTAATTGCACTACCATGTAGTATAGCTAAAGATGGAAAAACCTAAATTTCCCATCAATAGGGAACTAGTTAAATGGACTATAGTGTAACCATACGTGTAGCCAAAAAGGTGGGGGGAAGGGAGGTGAAATATTTGTTTTCCTGGGAGTACAGACTTTTATTTGATGTAAAGAATCTATGATCAGACCTAGTTTAGGGGTTTTTTAATTAACAGATTTATTGAGATATAATCCACATCTCAGAAAATTCAACCCTTTAAAACATACAATTTGATGGGGGTTTTTTTGTTTTGTTTTGTTTTGTTTTTTGTCTTTTTCCGAGTCCGGCAACGGATCGCAACCCTCAGTGTCGCCCCCGTACCGGACCGGGACCGGCAACGGGATCGCAACCCTCGGTGTTGCTCCCACACCTCGCTCAGCCAGTGAGCGGGAACCGGTCTGTATGTGGGATCCGAACCCTCGGCGGGAGCACCGCCGCGCTTCCCAAGCGGCGCACTACAGCAGTGCGCCACCGGGCTGGCCCCCAATTTGATGTTTTTTAGTATATTTAATAGTTGTGCAACCATCACTCCAATTAATTTTAGAATTACAATTAATTAATTTTTATCACCCGCCAAAAAAACCCTGTGCCCTTTAGCAGTCACTCTTTCCCACTTCCACCAAACTTTCCAGCCCTAGGCAACCACTAATCTACTTCTGTGCCTATACATACACCTGTTCTGGACATTTCACATAAATGGAACCATACAATACGTGATCTTTTGTGACTGGCTTCTTCCACTTAGCGTATTTTCAAGGTTCATCCATGTTGTAGCATGTATCGGTACTTCATTCCCTTTTAATGCCAAATAATATTCGATTGTACGTATATGCCACGTTTTACTTATCCATTCATTAAGATAAACTCTTGGGTTGTTTCCACTTTGTGGCTATTGTAAATCAAGCCATTAAGAACATTCATGTACAAATTTTCATTACTCTCGGGTATATACCTAAGCATGGAATTGCTATGTCATGGGTTAACTTTGTATTTAATCTTATGAGGAAGTGCCAGACTGTTTCCCAAAGGGGCTGCACCACTGTACTTTCTCTCCAGCTGTGTAGGAGGGCTCCACTTTCTGCACATCCTCTTCAACACTTGTTACTGTCTTTTTGACTACAGCTATCCAGGGGGTGTGAAGTGGTATCTCATCATGGTTTTGATTTGCATTTCCCTAATGACTAAGGATGTTGAGCATTTTTCATGTGCTTATTGGCCATTTGTAAACTTTCTCCGGAAACATGTCTGTTCAGATCCTTTGCCATTTTAAATTGGATTATTTCTCTCTTTAATTATCGAATTGTAAGAATTCTTTATATAGTCTAGGCATAAGTACTGTACACTACTTTATGAAATATATGATTTGCAACTACTTTCTCCCATTCTCTTGGTTGTCTGTTCACTTTCTTGATGGTATACTTTGAAGCACAAAAGTTTTAACTTTGAGGGGTTTTTTTTTGGTTTTTGTTTGTTTTGTTGGCAGCTGGCCAGTATGGGGATCCCAGTTTGTGTTTTAACGCCATATTCTAACCAACTGAGCTAACCAGCCACCCTTGAACTTTGATAAAATCCAACTTATCTATTTTTACCTTTGGTTGCTTGTGCTTTTGGTGTCATGTCTAAAAAAGCCACTAGCTACTCCAAGATAAAAATTACGTACTGATGAGTAAGTATCACCAAGGTTTAATAAAACAAAAAGAACAGAATAGTGTATAGAACAGGCTACCATTTGTATAAAAAATATTTTTAAAAATTATATCTGTATTTGCTTGTATATTAAATATCATCAAACGGATAACAAGAATCTGAATAACACTGCCTCCGGGGAGGGGAACTGGTTGGCTTGAGGAGAAAGAGACTTTTAACCACATAACCTTACGTACTTTCTGAACCATTTGGGTAACTACCTATTCAAAAAATAATTATGCATAAAATTTAAATAAAAAAATACAATAGCCTGTGTTGAATCCCAAGAATATTGGAAAAACTAAAATCAAATAAAGGTCACAAAGCCATCACACATAATCTGGTCCTATGCAACCAAAAAACCGAATAGATTTCTTCTCCGATTAGCTAAAATGAATTTCAGAACATTATTTCCTTAAAACGGTCTGTTTCCCACATATTGCAAACAAGTAGAAAACAGCAAATCATTTGTTTGGCACAGATGAGACATATAATGCTAACACTGTATAAAAGAGAGGACATTTACAGAACCAGTGAGGGCCATGAAGTTGCATGAATTTCTTTCCTTCTTCTATTGAAGGAAATAATAATGTAACTTCAGTGCTGGGGCAAAAAATCTTTTCCTTCTTCTGCTGTTGAAAAAATAGTACAAGGGCCACCCGTGGCTCACTCGGGATAGTGCGGTGCTGACAATACCAAGGCCATGGGTTCGGATCCTATATAGGGATGGCCGGTTTGCTCACTGGCTGAGCGTGGTGCTGACAACACCAAGCCAGGGGTTGAGATCCCCTTACCGGTCATCTTAATTAAAAAAAAGAAAAAGAAAAGAAAAAATAGTACAAGATGAAATAAAAATTTTAAATAACATAAAAACATAATCCCACCACCTGAACCTATTTTATTTTTTTTATTATGTGTGATTCATACAAAGTTGTAATCAGTGTATACATATTATTGTATATGCTGTTTTTAACTATTTGTACATAAGTATTTAAAACAACTATTTCAATGGCTGCTAATTAAGACACTTTTCAACAATCTAATTAACTGATACAGACTATAAAGGCATTAAGATTCTGCCCCAACTTTTCACAACTATTAATCATGCTAGATAAACATATTTATGTATACAGTTTTATTGAATTATTTCCTAGGTTTGGTTACTGAAAACAGTGTATGAGATCAAAGATATGAATATTTTTATGGTGCTTTATACATATTCTCATACAGCTTTCCAAAAAGTAGATCAGTTAGAAAAACTGGTGTAATTTATGTACCAGTTTCACTGTATTCTACCAGCACTAGATACTATTTTTTTTTACTTTTGGTAGAAATAAAAAGTTACCTTAAAACAGGGATTTTTAAAAAAACATTACTTTTAACTGTAAGGTAACTTTTGAAGCCTGTTTATACAAGATTGTCTATAACAGAGGTCAGCGAACTTTTTCTTAAAAGACCAAATAGTTACTATTTTAGGCTTGTACACCATAAGATTTGTGTTGTAATTACTGAACTCTTACCACTGTAGCTCCAAAGCAGCCATAACCAATATATAAACAAATGAGTGTGGCTGTGTTCCAATAAAACTTTATTTACAAAAACAGGCATCCAGTTTGTGGGCCATAGTTTGCTGACTCGATCTATAATATACAAAGCAGGATATTCACATCATTCACATTGTATGACACACATACATAATTAGCAAAATAGCATGTAGCTTGAACTGAGACACAGAGAACATAAAAATCACAGATTTGGGATTATGTTTTTCTCCCAACAGAATCACTATGCATACTCAACTCTGTAGTTAGAATTAATGCTCAAAATTTGGCCTAAAAATTAGAAGATACAAACAACAGCTATGACTAACCAAAGACAGTTAAGCCTCTGGATATTTGAAAGCAATGCTGCTTTAGTGACAGTATGAAATTTGTCCACCTGGAAAAAAAGTCAACAAGGCCAGAAGACGCTTTTCAAACCATACTTCAAAGGGCTCCTTTTGGGAGCTTCTGCGTGTGTGTTTATTGCACTGGATGGTGGGCAAGAAGTTCCCTGCTCTCTCACAAGTTTTAGTGCCACATTTCCATCTGTCTGCTGAACCTCTCTACCTGGCGGCTCCAACTCAATCTGTTCAAAACTGAACTGACTATTGCTGCTCCCAAATATCTTAGACCCCTTGTTTCTACTAATAGTAATGTCATTCCCTGAAACACTCAGACTTGAAACTCAGAGTCATTCTAGAGCCTGGCACATGAAAAGCAACGAATAAAAAGTTAGTTAATTCAATTGTTTATTCATTGTTACATTCCTCTCTCCATTTCAGTCAGTCAATTGCCAAGTCTCACACAATGACTCCTACATCATTCATGGGAATTTCCTTTTTTTCCTACCTTAATTCAGACCCTGACTGGTTTAAGTGAAGTCCCTATGTTTTCATCTTCCTAAAGTTATCTTCAATATGTTACTACCAAGATAAAAAAATAATCAACGGCCCACAGATGCCAACCAACTTAAATTCAAATACCTAATCTGATATCCAAGATCTTTCACAATCTGATCTCATGCAGGAAATCAGCCTTATCAACCAATACTCCCTTTGGCACTCCGGGATCCAGTCAAAGTACAGCCACTCAATCTTCCCCGTCCCACCCCAATCTCAAAATTCCCACCTTAGTCCTGGTTTATCCCATTAGCTATCTTAAAAATATCCCACAATCCCCTAATTCCTACATGTTCAATCCCAACATTTTACCTGTTCTGAAAGGCTACTACAAACCTCTCCAATGAAGCCCTATCCTGTTTACTACTTTTTATTCTGTACCATACTTACTCTTAGACTGTAAGCATCTTGAAGACACTGAACATATCATTCATTCTTGTTCACAAGTACCTAAAAGAGTACCTTGAACACCAGAAAGTTCAACAAAAGTTTGCACAAGTTAAAATCCCTTCTTCGGAATAGCAGCTTTCAATGAATAGCAATTCTTACAATCAAGACTTGCTGATGATTTAATATCTCATCCTTTACTTTGCACACATTAATGTATAAATGGAGATGGAATAACCTTTCGCATAAAGAGCTTTGGTTGTTCTATCTCCAATTAGCTTTTCATCAGAATAAAATGAAAAGACAGTAGCAGTACTAGTAATAGCAGTAGCAATAGAAAGAGTAGTAATAATTTAATAACAGTAATAGTGGCTAACATTTTTTGAATGTGTACTATACACCAGTCTCTGTTCCTAAGACTTACATGTATTAACTCATTTAATCATCATAAGAACCCTATGAGTTAGGTATGATTGTTATTCTGATTGTACATATTTCCCAAATTTTTTATTCATCATTTTGGAATAGCCCTCTGAACACAGCACTAATGAGCTTGTTTACTCTGCCAGTTTAGAATAGGAAAGATGTAAGACACACTTAAGTAGCCACATACTCAAGTGATTCACAAGATCAGGATTCTTGGGAGGGTTATAGCTAGAAAGACAGATGTCTGTAGCAGAAGAAGTAAATATTTCTGTACAATACAAGGCACATACTAGATACTGAGCAAATGCTTGCTCTTTCATTCCTTCTTTCTTTCCTTCCTTCCCTCCCTCACTCTTTCCTAAGAGAACTTACTTTTAGGTCTCTAAAACAACTACTTCTGTGTTTATTTATTTGTGTTTCCCTGCCATTTTGCTGTATCCCCTCTACCCAACTATCTTACACTTGTCCCCCTGTAGTTCCATGAAAAGTCAATCTATAAAGCAAAGCACGGATAACAAGCTTGGGTAGGAGATCAACTTGTAATCCTTTTCATGATTATTCCCCTGCTCTCTGGAACCCTTCTTAACTGAGCACACGTTACCCGAGGGCAACTACTTTAGGTTTTTCTCATCTCTTAACTTCCCATTCTAAACTAATCTGATCAGCTGACCATCAGCTATTGCAAGTGGTGGCAGACTTTAGCAATAAAATCTGGGTTATGAACACAACTGGGGAGCTCAGAAATTCCTTGGCACTGCTGTAACTTTCTCCTTAATTTACATTCACATGCCCAGAAGCCTGACCAAAGAGTTAAGAGAAATGTAAATTCTCAACCATCTGAACCCAGCCACAGCTAATGCGCACAAGCACATGAATCCACCCCATTTCCTTCTGGCCATCACCTGCCCTTGACCTTGACAGATAGAACCCCCTAAGAAAATCTCTAACTATCAACACTTGCCAATGGTATTTTCCTTCTCCAAGAAACAAAACCCCAAGAAGCAAAACATACTTATCCCATGCCGTGAACAGACTTTTTAAAACTGTATCCAACACAACCCAAAGCTAAAAAAGCAAGTAAACAGAGATTAAAGTCAAGTTAGATGGAAGCAATTTTCCTATCAAATACTATTTCAATGTTCTATGATAAATTGCTTATTCAACCACTTCTGTCACATCCAATTAAGTGTGAATTACATTTTTATTTACACTTACCTCTGCCACTCGATGGGTGGAACTGAACCGAGGTTGTGAACCAGCCAAAACACAGTGTTGGTGGGTGGCATTGAGATCATCTACAGGAAAAATACCAAAAAGTTTTAAAACCACATTTACTAGTCAGTATATACTATATACTACTTAATTAAAATACAAAGTAAACAGTAAATCCATCATTCAAGGAATTACAACAACCAAGGAATTAATGCTTGCCTTGTATTCTTTAAATAGTTCCTTATAAGCAGGACAACTATATGTGAATTTTTTATCATGCAAACCAGTATACTTTCAAGAATGAAAATTAATAATTATCCATAATTATTCTAGGACAACAGGTATAAACCAGGTCTGTACTCAGCAAACAGGATATATGGTTACTCTATTTATGTGTGGTCATACAATGCCGACCCAAATTTTTTATTTATTTATTTATTTATTTTGGCAGCTGGATAGTATTTATTTATTTTTTATTTTTTATTTTTTTAAAATTTTTGGAAGCTGGATAGTACAGGGATTGAACCCTTGACCTTGGTGTTATCAGTACCATTTTCTAACCAACTGAGCTAACTGGCCAGCCCCATGACATATCTAATTCTATCTGTGTCTTTAGAATAAGCCTGAATTATTTTACGTTATTTGGAGCTGAATATCTTTCACCTGAAAATCTACCTCTTTCTCTCCATAATCAAAGTATCAGTTTTGCCCTTACAATTTTCTAGGCAACAAACCAACAAACTCAGCTTGTTGCATACTTGGCGCTAAGAACAGAATTGAAGCCTGTGGATTCAAGACCCAAGAATGGAGTAGACAGTGAATTCATCAGTTGAAAAATAATCCTAAAACCACAAGCAGTGGGACAATCAACAGCCAAGTTGCTGCATATCCTAAGAAATTATGTCATGTGTCAGGCAAAATCTCTACCACCTCTACTCAGGACATCATTTCCTCTACTACACAGAAGAGAGTTGCAATGTTCCCCAGCAATGATTTTCTGTATAGGCAATACAAGCTTCTTATGAAGATACAAGACAATGACTTAAATTAAGAAGCAAAGGCCACTAGGCCCCTTATGTGTCAGCAAAAACAACCTATGATATTACTTCTAAACATAGACAGGAAATGCAAAATGTCAACTGAAGGACTTCTACAGATATTGAGAAGTAACAGTGATAAGGTTTACCCTCCTACCTTAAACAGCTACAAAACAAACCAAAAACATGAATCAAAAGTTTCTCACACTGGGCTAGCCCATGGCTCACTCGGGAGAATGTGGTACTGACAACACCAAGGCCGTGGGTTCGGATCCTGTATAGGGATGGCTGGTTGGCTCACTGGCTGAGCGTGGTGCTGACAACACCAAGCCAAGGGTTAAGATCCCCTTACCTGTCATCTTTAAAAAAAAAAAAAAAGTTTCCCACACTGAAAAACAGAGCGAGTTAGATCTCAGGGAGAAGAGAAACAAAATAGGTGAGGCCTACAATTACACTTATTCCACGAAAACAGTTTCAGTGCCACAAAGCAGGGAGAGGGGAAGTCAGAACCCAGAGTTCTCAGTTTTTTCTCATTGAGTTGAGAAGACAGAGATTGGACTTTGGGAAGGCCAAGGCAGCAGGATTTGAAGGCAAAATACTGGAAGAGAAGAACCAGTAGAGAGAGAGAGCAAGCAGCGATCTGTAGAAGGGTTCAGCCAGGTCTTTGGCTGAGCATTGATCTGTGCATGTGAGAATGGAAACGTCTCAAGGGCTGAAAAAGAAGTACCAGAAAGCAGCAGGCTGAACAAGACACAGACCTCACACAAGGCCAGGAATACTTGTGTTCCCAGCAGCTGGAATGGCTCCTTCTACATGAGATACTAGGTAATCCCTAGAAAAGCATCACCTTAGTAACAGGGCTAAATTAGTCCTAGATTAAAGGTTGCTCTAGACCCACCTAACAAAGCTTAAAACCGAGGTTCAAAAGGATCCAACATATTCCAAGTAATTTAATTATTCATTAGAGCAAAATCCAACAGTACTTAAAAGAACACAATGAAATCAGGCACCCGACAAATAAAATGTGCAATATTCGGCATCCATTCAAAATGTAACAGAGGAGAGAAATCATACACATAAACACACACAATATGTAAGATATATACGTATCTTTCTTTTCTTTTTACATATGCATATCTTTCATTTTATATATATACTAAATAAAGCTTTTAAAGATTAAATATGTAGTTATCTGAAATAAAAATCCCATTGAATGAGATTAACAGCAATTTAGACACTGAGGAAGAAAAGATCAGTGAACAAGAACACACAGAACTACCCAAAATAAAGTGACCAGAGAAAAAAGATTACAAAAATATGAAAGAACATGAATGACCTATGGGACAATATTAAGCAGTTCAACATAAATGTAATTTGAGTCCCAAGGGAGGGAGAATGACAAAATATAATTATATATTTCTAGGAACAAGGGCTGATAATTTTCCAAATTACATAAAAATAATAAACCCGGAAATCTAATAGTCCAATGAACTCCAAGCAAAGGAAAACAATAAATAAATAAATAAATAAATCTAATATACATCATAATCAAATATCTGAAAATCAGTGATTAAGACAAAATCTTAAAAGCAGGCAGACAAAGAGACATATTAAATACAGAGGGACAAAGACTAGAACAAGAGCAAACTTCTCATTGGAAGCCATACAGTTCAGATGACAAGCAGGTGACATATTTAAAATACTCAAAGAAAAAAACTATCAATCTAGAATTCTATACCCAGTGAAAATACTTTTCCAAAATGAAAGTGAAATAAAAATTTTCCAGAAAAAAAATGACAGAATTTATATTCAATAGACTTACACTGTTGGAATTGTTAAGAAATTCTTAAGGCAAAAGAAAAATAATATCAGAAGGAATTTGGATCTGTCCAAAGGAATGAAAAGTGTCATAAATAATATCATTAAAATATAAATGACTGATTAAAGCCAAAATAATAACAATGTATTATGAGGTTTACAACATATGTAGAAGTAAAATGTATGAAAACTACACAAGGAAAAGGAAGGAAAAAATAGAATTATGCTACTTTAAGATACTGACACTACAGAAAAGGTGGTATAACATTCGAAGATATATCGTAGTAAGTTAAAAATGTACATTGTAGGGCCGGCCCGGTGGCGCACTGCTATAGTGCGCCGCTTGGGAAGTGCGGCGGCGCTCCCGCCGAGGGTTCGGATCCCACATACAGACCGG